TTCCGAATATCCGGTTAGTATTTTGCTACGCACACACACACACATAGATAGATGGATAGATAGATGCATACATTCATACATACTTGAATACACACACATACTACATACATACATTCACATACCCACACACATAAATACATACATGCGCACACACACACACACATACATACACACACATACATACATACATTCATACATACATACACACACATACATACATACATACATGCACACACACACACACACATAGATACATACACACACATACACTACACACACACATACACACAGGATGGTATAAATAAGATGCCGAAACCACAGTCGGAGCCAACTTCACCATCGGCCTCTCGCTCCTCTTCTCCACCGCCATCCCTGGACGACGACGAACCGGACAGCGAGGAAGAAAAACAGGAACTGAGTAAAATCGAAACCGAAACCACGAGTGGCCGAGCTACGCCTGTCAATCACTAATTTTATGGTTAATTTTTACGAATTAGTGATGGATAGCCAATGATGTAATCTAATGATGACTTAGAGGTCCACAAAATAACATGTCGTTTTGTGTCTATTTACTAGTGTTGTAACGTAATCTTTAAAGGCGCTGGTTTTTTAATGAGGTTGTTGTATCTTAGTGCCATCCTGTAACGTCTGAACGTTTAAGGGTTACAAGTGAATGTAAGTATGTATCTATCTACCTATCTACCTATCTACCTATCTATCTATCTATCTATCTATCTATCTATCTATCTATCTATCTATCTATCTATCTATCTATCTATCTATCTATCTATCTATCTATCTATCTATCTATCTATCTATCTATCTATCTATCTATCTAGTTCATGAGGTGCGATACATGTATGTCTGTGAATATGTATCATCTATCGTCTGCTAAATTTTCAGCCCGACTGAATTGGCTGGTTGACATGCTGTCATTGTAGTTAAAATCGTTGGTTGATATCTGGTTAAATGTAATTAAATTGGTTAATTGACGTCAATTAGTTTGCAATTGTAATTAAAGGGTTTGATAGACGAGTGGAGGACTTGAAGATAGGCGTTTTATTACGTGACGGTTCAATGCATAATTTTTTCGCCATTTTAAATCATTTATTACCTTTTCAACTTAATATTTAATTATCTTTTTTTTTTATTTAAATTAATTTTTTATTATTTTAAGAATTCATTTTACCATCGTCAATGGACACCGTTATATTGTCTCAATTATTACACCAAATGTTACTATTTTCAACGTTACGTTAATTACTACTTTGTATTAATTACTGTACTGCATTTGATTACTTATACACATAATTATTTAGGTAGGTAGATGGTTTTTTAATTTACAATTAGTTACATTAGTTCTTATTACATTACGTTAATTAGTCCTACTCTGTATTAACTACTACATTACTATGCTGCTAAATCAAGAGAGTACTAAATTTTAATAAGACGAAAATTATACAATTGGAAAATTAATTAACGATTAAATCATGTTTCACGATTCTGAATCATGTTTCAAAAATCATTCATTCATTCATTGATCGTGGTCTAAAAAATTAATTTTTTTTTTTATTGTTCGAAACGTTCAAAATGTTTTATAGTTTAAATTCGTTAATTTTGTTCGCTTGATTCAAATTGTAAATCTTAACTAATGATTAATGTTTATCTCTCTCTCTTCTCTCTCTCCTCTCCTCTCTCTTTCTCTTTTTTCGTCACGCACTATTAGCTTTAATTTTACTTTCGAGTGTTGTAAATTTATTTAATTTTATAACCAATGTTTATTAACGTCGTTATTATTGTTATTATTATTATTATTGTTATTTTTAAACTTTTAAAATGAATAACTTGCAATAAATATATCATTTTCTTTTTTAACGTTTCTACTGATTTTATGCTCACCTGAAGTTGCCAAGTGCAATACGAAATTCTGCTGGTGAAAAGTTTTGTAACTTTTTATTATTATTATTATTATTCGTTAGAAATCAGGATCTGACAGACGCATAAACTGTAATAAGAAACTTAAGAAAAAAGGTAGTATCTTTTTGCGTGCAATTTTAATACTCAGTATGTACAATTCCGAATTTCTGTCAATGAATATATAAGTGACATGGCATAACTCGTAACAGAGACTAATATAACATAGTGTTGTCACGACAAAAATATACGATGAGGAAAAATTATTATAAATATAATATTTAATATAATATAAATTAATATTCGTGTATTATAAATAAAATATTTAATATAATATAAATTAATAATAAAAATGCATATTCGAAATTCATGCTTTATCCACCGGGAAATTCGTATTTTCTACTGGCACGTGTGGAAAAGATTCATTTTATTTGAGTAATGTAATCCGAACTACTTCCTCGCGTTCACCATCGTTTGCGACGAACCTGATTGTTGACACTAAGTTTGCCTGTTGAATAATTCAAACAGATCAATAAATAACTAATTTATGTAGCGCAATTCAACAGACATGCAAGGTGAGTGTTGCGTGTGTGCAAAGTAATGCGTCGAACACTTTAGCGTAGGATAGGCAAGCACGGCTTTGCAATTTGATTGAATCAGGTAACTGCTGTATGACACTATACACTCCAGTCAAATTATTGTTCGCTGGTATATTAAATTTATCAAAAAGTACCATTTCCACACCATATAACGTTTCTGTGCTGATCTGCGTTGTGGATTTATCTAGCTACGTAGCTTAGAATTAACAAAATAAATTTTTGAATATTTTAAAAACTATTCTATTAAACATTCCCACAAAAAACTCACGTGGTTTCTGAGATCATTGGCATTTACTAAACTGTTTCTGTGTGTAATTGACCTATCGAACTGAGATCTTGCTTCGTCTGACAAGGATTTCGAATGCTTTTCAAGGAGAAGCAAGGTAGGCCCTGATTTTGCATTCTGTTTCAGTTTAATTTTATTACAACAAATAAAATGACAAATGATTTTTTTGTATGCAGAAGTTATCAGGCAGCAGCTGAAGTAGTTTGTTTAGTTGACAGAAGCTATGAAGTTTCATAAAAGTAAAATATATACAAGAAATTGAAGCATAAACAGTTGAAGAATTGTACCTCTTCTTGTTTATAAAGGACAATGCGTTGGTCGAAGTGGCACTGACAGCCGTCAGTCGTATAGACGTGCGTACGTATCTTACACGAGTCCATAACAAATGACTGAAAAGCATTGAGAAGAATGTTGACGTCACCACTGATTACCATTCCCTCGTTGGATATTACGCTTACGTTCAAGCCACTGGTTGTATGATTGTTTACGACTTGTTTTAAATGCTTCATGAAACAAATTTCACGTTCAAGAAATTAAATGCTTCAATTTTTTAAACTATTCATTAAAAATGCCTCTAAAAAGTGCCAGTTCTCGATAAATTAGTCGCCTCGTTAAAAATGATTTTCTAGAATTCTACGGAAATGATGGGCAACAAGATTCGTCCCCTAGTTTTGCTTTACACAGCAAAAAAAACCTAACTCGGCAGAACAAATATCTCCAAATCATTATAGCCAATTTATTTAAGCGACTCGGTTTTCTAAACTTTTTGCAGTACCTTTCCATCTACAACCAAATTGAACTCGCAAGCATTTTGTAAATACGCCTTAAATTTTAAAGAATAAAATAAGAAAGATGTTGAAACGAGAAAATGTATGAAATTACTTTGCTTTGGAAAATTCTCCAATAGTTCGTAAAAATTCTGTACCCCTAGAGAGAGAAAGATACATGTTCCTTCTTTCTATTTTTTTGACATGGCGTGACAAACAGTCATTGCTATTCAGATGACTGCTCAGATATTCTTTCATATATGGGAATTCATGAAAACACTGAATCAACTTGAGCATACGTTTGCAGTACTCAAAGCCTCTTCTGTTAAGTTCATTGATCTTAGGCGTGTACTTCGATAGATCAGTTTTTATGAATGGTTCTTGTAAGAAATCTGCAAACAGGTAAATAAATACCCCAACATGAACATAATGCAGGAACGTATGTTATGCAGATGTGTCATTGATGTACAAATTTGTTAGTAAGCATCACCTTTCTCGAAACTTTCTGCTGTAAACAGATTTTCATTAAGTTCCAAAGAGCGTTTCATAAGAAGCTAAAATTTAAAAAAAATTAACTTCAAGTATTCTATTTCAGACAGGGTTTTAGAATCTCAGTTTAGAAGCGTGAGCACCATTGACGACAAATGTATGTTCATTATGTTTTAGCAGGAAACCTTCAAATACAATGAAAATATTGATTGTGGATGTAATGCTGCAAATACATCCAGGTCAAAGCTAAAGTCCAAGTACTATGGTTCATTTACCATACTAAAATTCCGTTGTTTCTCATGATGATGAAGCTGAAAAAGAAGAAATTCAAAAATGTTGCTAACTTCTTTTTCAAAAAACTGGCAATCAATTTGCTGGCAGACTCTATCGACAATATGTCCCAGCGCCTTAATTATATTTTTTTCATTCAGCGATGATATCTTCCATTTCATACGCACTACATTTACTGATTGATCGTCGGCTTTAACTAAGACTCGATGAATCCGTACCTGGTTATTAAATTAATTTTTTGCTTGGTTTTCATTCTGCAGATGAGAAACAAAATGTTGCAAACTTTACATCGTCATTTTTCTGGATGCCAGCAAGTGTGCCACTTTTTTCAAAGAGCTTCCTGCAAGGTTTCATCAGCCTAAACGACATCGTTACGACATCTGGTGTCATCGTTCTTATTCCATTTCTTAGCCTGTTTACGTTTTTCTGTTTGCCTTGCACTTCCAGTTGAACGCACTGGTCGGCAGTATCTGTGAGCACTCTCATCTTTATGTTTCTGAATGTAAGACAATTCAATTGATTTTATATAAGATTATTAAAATGAAATAAAAGTATAATTGAATAAGGAATCTGTACTTAAAATGAAATCATTGTTAATGTGTGTCGTCAATGAAGCTCTCGCTTCTAGAAAAGTTTATCAGAGGAAGACAATTAATAGGATAGGCTGGCGTGACTATCTCAATACAAAATATCCCCTAGTTGTTAATTTTTTTTTAATTTTGATTTCGAAATTAGCCCTTGAAATTTGTGTTCCAACATTCATTCAATTTTGAAATAATGAAAAGCGAAATATCTTAGAATTACTCTTTGAAGGCAATTTCACAAACTCGTTCATAAAATTGAGGAACGAAGTGGAGGAAAGGCTGAGAAATTTTAATTTGACGAATGATGTTGGTCGGTTTTGATTTTGAAGGCACACCATTTGCACAAGACATCTTGCAAATATGTTTGTTCCTTAAAGCATGTCGTTGGCAAGCTGAACTGGGTGAGCGAACAGAACTCAGTGATATAGAGGCTCTAACTTTCTTTTTCTTCTTACCGGAACTACCAACAACATCCCCATTATTCGTAAGTCGGCATTCCTGGATGTGAATTCATGTTTGAAAATGTTTTGAAAATGTTACCTCCTCAATTTAATGCATGGCAATGGGTTGAATTCGTTAATTTTGATTTTATTAAAATTATTTTTCTAAATTACTTCTTTACGTTCTTGTTAACCATGTGTATGGGTGTGTGTCTGTGTGTGTGTGTGAGTTCGTGTATGTGTGTAAAGGTAGACTAATTGATTAACTCAGTTCGAAACTTTTGCAACCTCTCTACTTGGAAATTTTGCATGATGACAGGATTGATGGTACCAGTAAAACTCCTGGGGCAAGACATTGTCAGTGTAATAAGGTCTCACAGAGAATGTTTCCGAATCTAAGGTGTACTTTTTCCTTTTAAGGACATTTTCAGCATCTGCTCCATTTTATACATGTACACGATCAAATAAAATAATAAAATTTAATTTCAAAATAATTATTAAAATAATTTAAACAATATTTAAATGACAATTTAGAATAAAATCAAGTTTACATATAAAAAATGAGACTTTACTAAGCAAATAAATAATTATCACCCTTATAGTTTTTAAATTCAATTCGAAAAATTTTCTCCATATGTTGGTCTATGTTCATTATTGGTCCACCATTACACCATCTATCACTTTGGCTTGAGAAAAATAATTCTAACATTTCTTTGCCAACTGGTCCCTGAGATATAATCTGGACAAAATTGGTCTTGGGAATTCTTTCGAATGAGGCCATGTGTCCTAACAATGGTCTAGTGCATAGTTCTTTCATTATATTAGGAACATCTTTGAAGTAGAAAAAATAAATTTTTATATGATTATTACTCAATAATATTTAATCATTGAATGAAAAGATATATCACCTGGTTCATTTGCAAACTCTACAAACAATTGATTCTGGTGTTGAAAATATTTATAATCTTGCACTTTTGCTTTTGAAATTGATTCGATTTTTGACACCATTTCTCTCTCATTTGAAAGCCCAAGACATACATTCATGAAAAGAATTCTCATTTGATCAATTTCTCCATCAATTTTTGAAGGTGGTTTTGATGGGTCCATTGGTTTTAGGTTGAAATTGGGTTGAAAAAATTGAAAAGGATTTATTCTTCTCTAGAATGCTTTTGACAACTAAAATGTGATAAATGAACAAACTATTTATTTTTTTAATTATCGTTTTAAAATTTAAATCTAAAAATTACTTTGGCAGTTCTTGAATTCGACAATGGCTGACAATGGCGGATTCTAATTGAATGTGATACATTCAACAGAACCTTCCAAACCTCATTATTGAGAACATTCAAATAATGTTTTAAGATCGTTTTTTGAACATTTACATGATTATCCAACTTTTAAAGCACAAGAACCTTTAAAGACCGGCCACTAATCAACCAAATTTACTGTTTTATTTTTGTCGAAATTGTTTGATGCAAATTTTATGAAATCCAGGGAATCTTTAAGTTTAAAGAATTGTTTAAAATTGAAGAAAAAACTTATAAAATTATTTTAATGTGCATGAAACCTTTGTCATTTTTGAAATTAACAATCAAATAGTCAACTCCTTCTAATACAACATCTGATGTCAGGTATCCCCTTTTAGCATGCCATTTTTCAAGCATTATTTTATCTTCTGGCAAAAACTCTCCAGTTAGACAAACACACATTGCACATTTCTTCTTTTTATTATAAAGAGCAGACCTAAAAATTCAATGAACTGTTTAGTTAGTAAAAGTTAAAAAAGGTTAAAAGTCTTTCTGGGTTCATAAGACTCAACAACAGGCTACAAACATGTTGTAGGCGGAGATCTATTATAGCCATAATACGTAATTGAATCAAACCTGGTCACTGCAAAACAGCAGCAGGCAACCTTAACCACTAGGCCATCATGCAGTTCAGATAAAATAAATGGTAATAAGATTGGTCTGCCTTTTTTTACTATTTAGTTTTTCTTTGACTATTTTTAATTTTATTTCACATGTGTTCAAAAAATTGATCAAAATAAACAAAATAAAAAAAAGAATGACAAAAAATAGTAATGTTCACCATATAAATTGAAGTAGCCATCCCAGAAATTTAATGAGGATTTTGAAATGGGTTTCAAAAATCATATTAACACTTTATGACTTTAACTTTAGTATTAAGTATTAACATTAACAAACGATTAATAAAACCTTACTTAACAACAAAACTTCAATAAAACAAATAAAACATTTTACTTTTAAATTAAAATTAAATTAATTAAATTTTCTGTTTCATTTCTGTTGAGTTTTTTAAGAATAACAAAATTTAAGATGTGAAAAATAAATTGATGGAAGAGTAGAGTAGATGAATAGATGAATGAACACACTTGACACTAGACTAGCTAGACTACTAAAATTAGACTAGAAGACTCTAGCCTACCTAGAAGACCTTAGCAGCTAGAAACAGCAAAACGGTTTTGTCAGAGTTTATTTGACATTAGTCATTAATTAATGATTTTTTTATAGAATCAATACAATAAATACATATATCAAATTACCTTAATTATTATTAATAATGTTTTCCAACGATTTCAATATAAAAGTCTCATTAACAAATGCGTCCAACGATTTAAATTGCACGCCTTCGACTGTATCATCAAGAAAACGAAGTTTGGAAATTCCATGGGTTTCGCATAAAAAAAAACTTCCAAATAGCGACTACTAATATATATTATTATTATTACGGAAATTTATATACAGCGCTTTTAATTGTTGAAACTCAAAAGCGCTACTGAATCATAGGCAAATAAGACGGACGTTCTTTGTGCAAATAAATAAGTTTTAAGCTGACTTCGAAATTGTAAATATGGTAGGTTAGGGTCACGTAAGTAGCGAGGTAAACCATTCCAAACAACCGGGCCAAGAACCGCAAAGTTGCGGGAACCCGTCGCTAACTTTGGCTGATCGGAAGGAATATTTTGAAAAATGAGATTTGTATGATTCCGATCTATCAATGAGATAGGGAGGAGCTGCATTGTTGACACATTTAAACATCAAAACTGCTAACTTGAAGAAAACACGTTTCTCAACCCTCAACCTTATTCAAAATATGCGTAACATGATCGAACCACGAACCACCCAAAACCAGCTTGGCCGCACGATTCTGTATTGACTGAAGCTTTGAAAAAGACCTTTTGGTGGCACTATAAAAAAAGATCATTGCAATAGTCCAGTCTGGAAAAAACGAAAGAGGAAATTAAACTTTGAAGAAAAGACGTGTTTAGTGATTTTTTGACATTGCGTAATAAACGCAGTTGGTTAGAGCAGACCTTCACTACATTATTGATATGTAAATCCATCTTTAGGTTTGAGTCAAAGAAGCGTCAATCGAATCAACAGGACAAGATACCAATAACTGAATATCATCAGCAAAGGCGTGGGAGCCTAACTCATCTTTTTGAATGATATCAAAAACATCATCATATATATATACATGCCATTTTGTATGTGCCTTGTGAGTCATCTAGACTAGATAGCTTGGTCGTCGTCATACCAATGTATTCGGATTGTGGTGCCCACACTCACCCCTATTACATTTGAACAAATATATTAGATGGCTATGATCCATTATCAATTCTGGTTTACTAGTGCAGTTGTTTTTTTATCGAATGAGATGACGTTCATTGGTTGGAGTAGTGTATTGGCAGTTTAGTACTATCGTTTTCGTTTGTTAACGTCCAGGCAATAATTATTATTGTATAATATATTATAATGCATTCTACTAAGCCTTCCAAGTATATGGTTTGTAGCTATTATTATACATACTTGCAAGCTTTAGAAAAGTAATAAAAAAGCATTTATATAAACAAGATCCACTTTTCTAAATCAATCAATCAATCAATCAATCAATCAATCAATCAATCAATCAATCAATCAATCAATCAATCAATCAATCAATCAATCAATCAATCAATCAATCAATCAATCAATCAATCAATCAATCAATCAATCAATCAATCAATCAATCAATCAATCAATCAATCAATCAATCAATCAATCAATCAATCAATCAATCAATCAATCAATCAATCAATCAATCAATCAATCAATCAATCAATCAATCAATCAATCAATCAATCAATCAATCAATCAATCAATCAATCAATCAATCAATCAATCAATCAATCAATCAATCAATCAATCAATCAATCAATCAATCAATCAATCAATCAATCAATCAACCAACTAACCAACCAATCAATCAATCAATCAATCAATCAATCAATTAGCTTATAAAGCGCTATTTCCGCGATGTTCAACAGCGCTCCTCAATGAATTTTGAAAACAGATGGGTCTTGAGATCCGCTCTGAACTTCACAAGTGATGGAGAACTCATGATCTAATTATAGAAATATGAATAACAGCTCAACCATGGAATTTTAGACCAAACTCATGTACATATATGTATATCAAATATACATATTCTGTAAATATATAGCTTATGTCCCAACCTAAAAAAAAGGATTTTCTATTTATTTTACTCACAGGCCCATCTCTGATGATTAAAATTAATTTTCACTGTTTTCAACATGGCGGTTTTTAACGTTGAATCTTTGAAAGAACAAAAATCCAAAATTAAGCCGCTTTTAGGAACTAAATTAAGCTTAAACGACACTTGGTAACTTTAATTTTTATTAACATTAAATTTGTTTTATATTTTCTTAAACCGGTTATTTTGGAGAGTCCAGAGACAGTAGAACATTCTTTTTTTATTTTTCCACTCACTGACAGTCAAAAAAGCTGGTATAGGTTTAGCATTATTAGTTTGACGTATATAATAAAAGTTAAAACGTTTGTAAAATGATATCTTAACAGACGAGACCTGTTGTCAAGAATAAATTTTTGCTTGTCATCTCATTACTGACTGTAACATTACATTACTGATTACTATTCAATTACTGATTACTATTCCATTACTGATTACTAATTACAATTACTTTTTTACCGATTACATTAGCTATTAGCAGATTAGCTGTGGTTACTTGAAATTTATCATCCTTAAAAAATGAAAATGATATTATTGACAAAATTACACCTTTTAAAAATTATTTTTAAGGTTCTCTTAAAGACTTAAACTTAAGACTTAGAAGTATTTAAAACAAGTTATAGTTACTTAAACTTAGCTTAGCCTTAGAAGAGAGTACCTAAGTATAAGTAAAGATTTGTTTTTTTGATTGTTAGGATTTAGGAATGTGATGTACTTTTAATTTTATATGCATTATATATGTACATTCATTCAATTAGCTCTTGCATATTAATAATTTAGTCAAGAAATAAGGAATTGTAAATATTATTTATTTTGGGCATCCCGTATCAACTACACTGATTATTTTTATTTCATTGATCACTCTCTAGGTATTTAATTGATGGCAAATGGTTTAAACAATGGCAGACATACGTGAGCTTTGATGATGTTGAAAATAATAATATTCTAGACGATTCTATATATCCTGGTCCTATTGACAACTCTCAACTTTTACTAGGTTAAATTAGTTTAAATTATATTTTATATTAAATTATTATTTAATATTAGTTTAATTAAATTAGTATAAATTATTTGAACTAATTTAAACTGATTTCAAACTTGGATTAATTTTTATTGTTAATTTTAAAATTAAACTGGATAAATTTAATGTTTTTAATTCAATTAAGTTTTAAAAAGAAAACCAAATGCTATGTGATTATATTTTTGTGTGCGATGTATTTTCGCCTTGCATTGTATATATATATGTTGGTAATAGACCATAATTTTTACAATATTCTATAAATTTTACCGAATGTTTGGCGTTAATATGTTTGTAGTTCGTTTTTCCAATTTTTCTCACTAAAGTTTTTTGGTGAACGTTTAGTTTATTAAAATTCAAAATAAACTTATTTTTCGAATTCATGCTGCAAATAAGGCCATATTTCGATTCCGAATGAATCATCGTCAGTGCTCCTTGTTGTATATAAGGCCATATTTTGATTCCGAATGAATCATCGTCAGTGCTCCTTGTTGTATATAAGGCCATATTTTGATTCCGAATGAATCATCGTCAGTGCTCCTTGTTGTATATACTGACGATGATGATGAAAATGTTTTATAATTTCATATAAACTTTTGTGTAATTTATTCACGATATGATTTTTTTGTTCTCTTCCAGATTCGAATAAATTGAAGCCAGACATAACTGAAGAGGTTGACTATTATTTCCTGCCCCAAAAAGCATGGGATCTATTTGTTATGTGGTATTCCCTGGCCGAAGATCAAGTGTTTCATCTTTGCAGTTTATTTATTCATAATTTTATTTATTTAATCTTTTTTTATTTAAATATATTTATTTTATGATTAAAATTAATTAGCACTATAATTTGCTACATATGTTAAAACGTATTGTATAGTCTTAGAAAGAATCGATTTCACGAGTAAAATTAATTAGCAATAATGTTTTTTTTCATAGCAAATTAGCAAAAATATATTTCAAATAAATGAATGAATGAATGAATAAATAAAATTGTAAAATGTTTTTTTTTTAATAATAATTTGTTGTTGTTGTTGCTAAAACTTTTCAGGAGCCCATAGCAAGGAAGGTTATCTCACAAGGAGTCTTCAATAATCACCTGATCATCGAGATGTACCTGTTAGAGTTGAAGTTCTGCAGGCACGACCAACCAAATAATTTTAAGATACATTCATTCAGCCAGATGTCTACAATTGGTCAGTTTGGTCAAGATTCATCTCACCAATCAGTTCTCACAATTCTGTCTTATTATTATTTATATTATTATTATTAATATCATTGTTATTGTATTCATTATTATCATTGTTGTTACTATCATTTCTAACTGTTTTCTTTTTTAAAAAACTCTATTTTTTTCTGCATTTTCTTGTCTATTTATACTTTTTACAGATATTAAATGTTCATTTGACATTTTAGAAAGCTGACACATGTCTAAATCACATTCAAATTGGTTTATAGCAGAATCACTCTGGTTTTCTTGAACTATAATTTTTTTTCAACGGCAAAAAATCAAATTTTAAACCTCCGCCTAACTAAACTAATTTAAATAAATAATCAAATAGACTAATTAAATAAAATAATCAAAATAGCTTATTAAATAAGATAATTTGAAAAAACAAATTGAATAAGATTAAAACAAATTAAAGAGGAACTAGAAAGAGCGGCCAGAGAAATGTTCGAAATTCCAGAAAATCGCGACATTCGCCTGTGGAACAAGTTCCTGAACAATTCCATAGAGCCACTCATAAAGAAGACTCTGACCCTGAAAGATGCCAGTATCTACAACAATGGGGAGATAATCGTCGAGGAACAAGGTGGCGATCAAACCTGGCCCTACCAGTCTAAAATGTTAGTTCTTCTTACACTGAGTTTACATTTCTTTCTCATTTTTTTTTTTACTTTTTGCAAAAATAATTTTTATTCTTTTCACTGATATTTTTTTTGTGTAATAATTTTAAATGGTTATTAATTTTTATTAAAAAAAAATATTTGTAATTTATTTTAGTCCCAAATTGTTTAGCCAACTGAAGCAGCTTTAATGATAGTTGTTATAACTTTATTGATAATTCACAAAGGCAAAAATATAGTAATTCTCTACGTCGCCCTCACTGAATATTAACAATTTTGCAGTCCATTCATGCACCTCAAACTTCAATGATCTCAATACAAAAATTAGCTTGAGAGAAATTGAAAAAAAAATTTAACCTTTTGAAGGTTCAGCACTTCGGGGCTCCAAAATAGAATCACCCCCTCCCCAGCCGTTACGTACGAGGGCCTCCACAAGAATATCCACAACTTCTCACCTGGACTCTGCGGTCTGACCAACCTAGGCAACACCTGCTTCATGAACAGTGCAATACAGGTGATTATTAATCAGATTGTATGTATGTATGTATGTATGTATGTATGTATGTATGTATGTATGTATGTATGTATGTATGTATGTATTTGTGTGTCTTAGTTGGTGTGTCTGTGTGTGTGTGTGTGTGTGTGTTGTGTGTGTGTGTGTGTGTGTGTGACAGGCAGAGAAGAGAGAGAGAAAGAGAGAGAGGAGAGAGAGAAAGAGAGAGAATTAATGTGTATGTATAATGTACATGGGCTCATTTGTTTAACCTAGTTGTATGTTTGTCTGTCTGTCTGTTTGCTTAGCTACGTCACAGCAGCTAATATGCCACAAACTGCACACTAGCTCATGTAGGTAGGTTCCTTGAAAATGAATTTCTTGATTTGAAATGCTTTTAATAGGAATGAGCAGAATATGATCAGATTAATGATTATGAAAATTATTAATTATCATCTCTTTCATTGTACTTATAGTTAGAAGGATGTGGTGGGTGTAATATGGAATGTTGAAAGATTTATTATTATAAATTAATTATTATTATTGTTATAATTTTTGTTCTGATGGTTATAAAAATAATTTGCCCAGTGCATGAGTAACGTGCCCCACCTAACTGAGTACATGCTGAGTGGTAGATGGAAGTTGGAACTGAACGTGGACAACCCCTTGGGTATGAGGGGAGAAGTCGCTTCCTCCTACGCCGAACTTATCACCAACATGTGGTCCGGCAAGTTTAACTGCACAGCACCCAGGCAGTTCAAGGTCTGGGATCATTTGTGTGTGTGTGTGTGCGTCTGTCTGTCTGTCTCTTTGTCTGTCTGTCTGTCCGCTTGTCTCTTCGTTTTCTTGTTTGTTGTTTTTTCCTGTTTTCTTTTCCTACGTTAGAAAAATTTGGAGAATTAAAGCTAATGAATTACCACAAATAACTATATACTATAAACTGATTATTTATAATGATAGTTCATGATAAAGTGTCTATTATTTTCTTTAGCCCTACTCACCAACCCCCCTCCATCCAATCACAAACTAGGTAGCAGTAGGTAGGTTCAAGCCTGAGTTTTCGGGCTACCAACAGCAGGACTCTCAAGAGCTCATGGCATTTCTACTGGACGGCTTGCACGAAGATTTGAACCGTATAAGGAAGAAACCATACATAGAAACTAAGGAGGCCGACAACAGACCTGATGCTGTACGCGCGTTTGTCTGTGTGTGTGTGTGTGGTGCTTTTTGTAGTTGTGTGTGTGTGTGTGTGTGTGTGTGTGTGTGTGTCATGGTGGTGTGTAAAAACGTTTTATTGTTGTCATTATTAATGTTGGTTGATATAATCATTATTTACCGGATACAGGAAGTGGCTGACGAGACATGGCAGAACTACATAAAGAGGAACGACTCGATTATCGTCGACACCTTCCACGGCCTCCTGAAATCCACTCTCGTCTGCCCAGAGTGTCAGAAGGTGTCCATCAAATTCGATCCATTCTGCTATCTATCTCTACCATTGCCAGTCAAAAAGGATAGGCAGATTGAAATCTCATTCGTCCCTCACGACCACACTCTTAAAATAAGACAGGTTTATTGTTTGTGTGTGTGTGTGCCTGTGTGGTTTTAGCTAGCTTTTTGTGTTTTGCTCTGTGTGTGTGTGTGTGTGTGTGTGTGTGTGTGCGTGGAAGTGTCTCTGAGTGTGTATGTGTGTGTTTTTTGTGTGTACTTGTAGCTTTTCTGTCAACATTCCCCTAGCAAGTACTTATTTGGTAGATAGTTAAGAAAGTTAGTTGGAGGTGTTTCTCCTTATGTATGTTTAGTTAATTTTATTAATTTTCACTAGCTATACAATCTGTTAACACTTCAGCTGAAGGCGACAGTATCAAAAATGGGTCAGATCACGGATCTGTGTCAGGCCGTTTCGCAAGTTGTTTCCTACAGAGCTGAGCAGGTCACCATTCATAGTTTGAAATTAAAGTTAAATTGAAGTTAAAGTAATTCACTACCCGTCTGCTCTTATTAATGTTTATAAAATTCAATCAATCAATCAATCAATGATCCTCCTTTGTCCATCAGGGGACCGTCGAGGTTGATGACGTACATCTAAACATGCTTTTTAAATTTCTTTACATTTATAAAATTATTGTTAATTTATTCTTTTCTTGTTTAGTCATTTTTTTTAAACAAATGAAAACTAATTTGCCCTTTTTTTAAATGCCTTTTTTAATAAGTTTATAAAATTCTCTCCGAATTGTGGCATATTGATGATATTCAGAATTGCATTTACAAATATAAAAATGATTCCTCAATGTAACATCATGATGGTAGTTATATCCGATAACTCATCCACAAACACACACATATTCTGATAATGATGGTTAGTAGTGGAAGTACACACGCGCGCGTGCACACACACATACACACACACAGTAATAGTTAGTATTGATAGTATACACACGCACACGCGCACGCACGTACAAATACTGCATGTATGTACACTCACAAACAGATGATAGTGGCAGAAGTGTACAACCATAGGCTGTACAAAATATTCGCCATGAATGACGTCATTTCAAAGATCAACGATAAGGATGATATCTTTATGTTTGTACCTTTTGTCATTGACTTTGCTGCTATTTGTTCGTTCATATGCTCATTCAATGATTCGTTCGTTCATTTAATTATTTATTTATTTAATTTATTAATTTATTCAATTGTTTTTTATTTATTTATTGATTGTTGTGTTACGTTACGTTATTCATTAATATTATATTTATATATTTTTCTAGTTTATATTTTAATATATATCTATATACTTTTATTATTTCTTCAGAATTTTGTAGTAAATCAGACAGTTTATTTGTATAGATTAATGTGGTCGCTTAATATCTTTAAAAATTATCATCAATAATAGTAATAGACTAATTAATTACCAAATAATTTTCTTATAATTAATTAACCAGTGACAAATGTATCAATAATGATAATTGATTAGCTATCACGTGCCAGCACTGGAGAATCGAAACATCAACGAGCTTGCCATAGTCCCCGTTTACGTTAGGGAAAGAAAGTTAGTGTAATCTATGTACCTTCTTGTATATGTCTCTTCTCATTAGCATACATTATGCTAATTGGCTGCGCTACTCTACAAATTATTTTTGCCCTCCTTTTTGCATAAATTATGTGTTGCCAATTGTGTTTGTCTTCTGTTACGCAAATTATGCTATTGAGTTTTGTTATAAGGCATGTTACTGGATCTTGTTTATTTTTTTCTTTTCTATTATTATTATTATTATTAATGTTGTTTAATTAGGGAACACAACACATCCTACCCATCCAATTCGACTAGTACACTGTTTGGGGTACCATTCTTTGTATCAGTACATAGGACTCAGTGTACCTATGATGAATTGTACAATAAGATACTGCAACGGCTTAGGTAGGTTAGGTTGGTTGGTTGATTGGTTGGTTGGCTGGTTGATTGGTTGGTTGATTGATTGATTGATTGATCGATCGATCATTGACAGTCGTTACATAAAAGAGGACTTGAATGAGAATGGAAATGTGCTAACCTCTGGAAGTCTGGGAGATGGAGATATATCAGATGGATCTGATAGAAATGACGATGATGCCAACGGTCCGTATTGGCTGTTGCGTATGTGCGTGTATTTGCGAGTTTGCGTGTGTGGTTTGTGTGCGTGTGCGTGTGCGAGTAAACGTCACCGACCAACTACACAGAAGACGACGACATGTCTAACAGCGTCGACCCCCCTACAACCAACAACGCAAAGGCACAACACTCCAACAAGACGTCTCACATCCAGCACTGCAACGACAACAACAACGTCGTTGACTCGATGGTTGATGATGCAGACATTAGCGATGACAACTACAACAACAACAAACAGCAGCAGCAACAGCCGCAGCAGCAGCAACTTCAAAAACAACAACGTCTCTTCAGTATTCGACTGGTCAATGCTTATGGCAGTGCTGATTTTGAACTGATATCCCCAGACAAAAATCCTGTCACTTTTAGCAGCAGTATGTTATTTTCCTAACCTGCCGTCTCTTTACCTCTTTCTTTCCCTCTTTTTTTCTTTTTCTCTCTTTTCTTCTTTCTCTCTCCTATTTTTTTCTCTTGCTCTCTTTTTCTCTATTGCTATCTCTCTATTTCTCTCTCTCTCTCTCGAATTTTTCAATTCTCTCCTTTACTTTCTTTTTTTAGGTTTTCTTCCTCCTTGTATAGTTTTCTATCATCATCCTCTTTACTGTCATCATCATCGTCATCATCATTATTACCTTCCCTTTTATTTGTTTATTTATTTACCATCACCTCTGCTGTTGTTTATCATCATTACCCTGCCTAGCCTAGTTAGGCTCATCACGAGTTAGGCCAAAATACCATTATCATCATCTTCATAATCATTCTTATCATCGTTATCACTATCGTCATTGTCATCATCATCGTCATTGTCATCATCTTCGTCATCATCATCTTCATCGTCATCTTCGTCATCATTACATTAACATAACCTCAGTAGGCCACACGTACATAGCGGCCGATTGGAGTCCATCAACCAGAAAGGCGTACTATGACGAGAAGGAAGCCATGGTTGCTATTTTTAGCTCCACTTTCACTTTCATTTTTGATTTTAATTTAGGAAATTCATCACCATTCTTACCGTTGGCATCGTGCACATTAGTATCATCATCGTTAATGTACCCACTTACATCGTTGTCATCGCCATCTTCTTCATCGCTGCAGAGTTTCGAGATAGATGCCAGCATGGACAGCCGGCCAGCAGTTAAGAAGAGCATCCTTCTGTCAGACTGTCTTGAACTGTTCACGACAATGGAAAAGTTGGGAGAACAAGATCCATGGTTAGCCCGTGGTGATGTAGTGATGCGACGATGATGGTGTGGTGGAGATGGAGATTTTGTCGCTTTTTTAAATTATCATTTAAAGGTGAGGTAGGGTAGTGGTAATAGTGTCTGGTCTTGAGTTGCTGTCACCGGGTTTGAATTCAAAAACGTTTAAGTGGATGCGTCGGTGATGCTTACTCGTGTCGTGTTTGATGTGTGTGGCATCGGGTGCATCTGAGTGTACGAGAGGAAATTATATTGATTGATTGTCCTGGGGATAAATCATTATTAGCTACTTTAATGCCATCGTCGTCGTCGTCGTCCAAATCGTTACAATCATCGTCGCCACCATCATCAGTTGCTGTGATCGGTAGGGTGCAATCGTCCACCGATCACGTTCAAACAAGATGGCAAACCGCACAATCAAATTTTACTTTTTCAGTTTCACCCAACAACGGCCAATGACGTCTCATTTGTTAGCCAATCAAATCACGCCCAATGCACTCACATCCAATCAAATTGTATCTCAACCAATAACCCAGGTACTGTCCAAGCTGCAAGAAGCACCAGCAGGCCACAAAGAAATTCGACCTCTGGAAACTCCCACAGATTCTTGTCATTCATCTGAAGAGATTCTCGTACAGTAGGTTCTGGAGGGATAAGTTGGATACGTTCATCGAGTACCCCGTCGAGTTTGTAGTTGTCACCACTGCTCTTTTAATCGATTGATAATTTGGTGATAATGATTGGGATGATGATGATGATGATTGTAAAGAGGACGATAATGATGATGATTGTAAAGAAGATGATGATGATGAGGAGGATGATGATGAATTATTTCACCACAGTGGTCTGGACATGAGCAAGTTCATTATAAATGAGAAAAAGGACTCTTGCGTGTACGACCTCATCGCCGTGTCCAATCATTACGGTGGTCTTGGCGGTGGACATTGTAAGTGTGTCTCTGTGCGTGTGTGTGTGTCTTTGTGTGTGTGTTTTTGTGTGTGCGTGTATGTGTGTGCGTGTATGTGTTTGTCTGTGGACTGGCTGTAGTTGCATATTTTTTAATGTCTGCATATGCATATGCATTTTAATTTATTAATTTACTTACTTATGTAAGTTGGTTTTCATCTCAGTGTGTTTGTATATGTGTATGCTCTTAGGCATGTTTGTATCTATGGTATTGTATTGTATTGTGTTGTATTGTAATGTATTTTATTGTGTTGTATTGTTTTGTATTGTATTGTATTGTGTTGTGTTGTATTGTAATGTTTTGTATTGTGTTGTGTTTTGCTGTATTGTATTACAATGTGTTGCGTTGCGTTGTAATAATACAAACGGATAAAAACAAATACAAATACGCAAAAACACACACTCACGAACGAACGTCTACAGACACGGCATGCGCTAAGAACAAATTCACAGGCGGGTGGAATTACTTCGATGACTCCAGTGTCTCTCCCAGCGACGAATCAAACGTTGTTGTGAGTTGTGCCCGCACTTTTTACTTCATAATTTCTTTTATATAGTACTTGTATATAGTACTTTTGGCTAGTAGTTGTAGAGGTGGCTGTAGTAGTAAAAGTTGTAGTGAGTTATGAACGGTTTCGGTTGTAATGGAAGCTACTTCTATAATACTAATATAGTACTTGCATATTTGTGTACTTGTTAACCTCTTTACTACGTGTATGTTTATGTAATTGCAGACAAAGGCAGGATACGTCCTTGTCTACCAGGCACGCAACAGCAGCACAAAGGTCAACACAAACAACAACATCGAGACTAATAACAACAACATCAACGGTTGCAGCAGCAACAACAACAACAACAACCACAACCACAACTCGATGCAGACGAGCAACAATTCTAGTAACGATTCACCATCCTCTTCCTCACCTGGAGATCCTCCTACTTATGATGTTTGCATGGATGATACTTTGTGATTGGCTGATTTTTCTGCGTGCTATTTTGTGATTGATCAATTTTTACGAGTGCTATTTTGTAAATGGTGGGAGCGGTGTCTTGATTGGCTAACTTTTATGCGCATTCTTGTGATTGGTTCAAGTTATGTCGTTATTGTTATTTTATGATTTGGTAGATTAGTTTGCTGGCTGGCGGGGAGTCAATGGTCGGTTTGTGGATTTTTTCATTTTCATTCGGTATTTTATTTATTATTATTATTTTTTCTGCAATGCTTTATTTATTTATCTATTATTATAGACAAATTTTTTTTTCTTATTTACATTAATAATTAACACAATTTATTAACATAACAATAATGAACAACTTTTTATTAATTAATTAATGTTAGTAATTGATTAGTTGGTTAATTGATGGATTGGTTGATTGAATGTTTGATTGGTTGTTTATATATTTTGTTTATTAGGCAAAAGCACTTGGTTTAGAAACAAATCTAAACTAACCTGATGTAAAAATATTTCAGTTGTTGAATTGACAAGTATTTTTTCTCTACTGTCTGGTTTTTTCAAGTTTTCTATCACTGACGACACGCACTTTTTTCAAGATGATTTCAAATTTTTATGGCAATTCGAAATTATTACACACTCTGTTATAGTATTTTATTTTATTTTATATTATTCCTCTCTATTTTTTTTATTTCCACAACAAAGAATACATACATACATTATTTTCTTTGTGTGTTGAATGACGTTTGTACAAATTTGTTATGAATTCTTCCGATTTGAAATGAAAATGGCGGATAAAAATAATCACAAATAAGTTATCATTATAAGTTGAAGTACACGGTTTGATTGACACCATAGATCTGGAAACTGGTTTCTATATCTATGGTTGATTCTAGAGATGGGAATTGAACCGAACACACTTAAAACCCACCTAGCCTGGTTCGATCCGTAAAAACAGAGGAACGTTCTGAAATAATACTTTATTGTAAACCTTTACCTTGTAACACTGTAATACTTTATTGTAAACATTTACCTTGGCGATGTACAGGTGTCGTAAAACGCGTTTCATCCTGTTTTTATTAAGCTCCGACCAAACTTCAGCCTTTTTCAAAGTTGCTGTATTTCTAGAATGGGCTAGCTTTTTGTTTCAAATTTGTCACCTTAGTTTGAATGTATGAATATATAATAAATGTGTACGTACCTTTGTGTACGTACGCGTTTACACAATATACATTCATTCGTTTGTGATCATGTATGTAATATATATATTAATCAACAAACCCGTTGTGTATATGCAGAATAAAATGAGGAGAATTACATTCGTGTGGCTGGAATAATATGATTGACCCGACCGTCCTCATCATACTCTAATTACTTTTTTTATTTCTAAATACAAAGTCGAAGCGAACTGGAACTTTGTAAAAAGAAATGGCTTCGATTCTCATCTATGGTTGGACGAATGATCTGACAATTTGAAAATATAATGGCTAAATTGATAAATAATAGTCGCGGTAAAGAACAGATAAATTCTTTGGCAGAATCTACTCGACAAATAAATATTTTCTTAGAAGATGGTAGGTGATTCCGTTTGTATTTCGACGTGGAAGCTTTCAATTCTAAATTCAATCAGATTGATATTGATGCGAGCTTTAAAAAGTTACTCATTTCGTTATATATCGATCGGTATAATTAGGAGCCAGCAAAGTCGTGGGTTAAGTTGGCGGAATCCAAAATTTGAGTGCGTCTTGGATACGTTTTGTGGTAATACCTAATAACTCTAGAGGTTGACTATAATGATTGTGCGATGATTTGATAGAAGAAACATTGGAAATTTATTCATTTCATAAAATAAACAAATTTCATTAATTCAATCAAAAAAATTTGCGTACATGTTTACGTATATATAAATATATTTATATATAAATATATACGAATGTATGTATATATTTATGTATTTGTATATATTTATGTATTTGTACATATAGCGATGATTTTGATCAACAATTAATACTTTGTGATAAGTTAATAAAATTGACATCTTATTATCATTATAGGTAAATATTGATTTGATATTTTGTGTTTTTGTTTTAATGACGTTAATGTAAAAATATACAGATTTTTTAAAACTGATTTTTTCTTCTGCTTACATTAGATAATTAACTGGTGCGTGCGTGAAAGTGAGTTCGAACCCGGATCATCGCAATCTCGGTACTTTTTCGCTTACACGTCACTCGTTTATTCGTCCAAGCAGCACACAATATCAAGTTTCATTCATTGTTAGGTCTTCGAATTTCTTCAAAGCCCATTCAAACTTAAATATTTACATTTTAACCAATTACACCAACCTGCAATATTATATTTAGGATACAATAAGATACGATTTAATAAGGTTATACTTGGTTATATTATTAATAAGAGTTGTAAATTAACTTTGACAAGCCCTGGAGATCAGAGCTGTAAAACCAATTTTTAAAAAACCTAGGTGTATATTGAGGATTGTGTGTACCGGCGTGTGTGCGTGCGTGTGTGTTGCGTTTTTTTCTCGGAAGCATGCATTTCAATGCGTTCTCGGTATAAAAAATAGTGATATGTGCTCTTGAATCTGATCAATAACTTCGTATAACTTCCATTCGTTAGTTCCTTCATTGTCAAGTGTTGTTGATCATATAAGCTGCACTTACGACGCACAACACACTCCCTCGCGACAAACATGCAGCTGCATTTATTCGTACAAGGCGTGGAAATAAAAGTCAGCCAATAAAAATATCAAACAATGTCAACATCTTTGGTTGAGTGTGGAGGCCGTTGATTGGTCGATCGATCGGTTGCGTGGAATTTGATTGGTTGATTGGTTTGTTGGTTGGCTAGTTAATAAACAAAACATAAGTAATACAAACAGAAAACTACTAAAGACAGACAATGACACAACACTACAAACATCACTCGCATCTTTCTTACTTGAAGACGTTGTACAAAACAAGCGATAGGACACTTAGATGCTCGTCAGGCAGGTTTTATTATAAAATTTTAAAAATTATTTAAACGTTTAAACAGGCAGCATTCCTGTTCATGAAGCCGTACCAGGTAATTATGTATACAAATTCTGCTATGGTTATCTTGCGTGCTTATAATTTTCAACTTTGAAGAGCAAATATAATTTCGTCTCCTCTCGTTTTGCTTCCATGTGAGTTGCTTGTTCATAAATATAGAAACCATGAGTTTATTTAAGTTAATAAAATTGTCATGAGGTGAAAAACGAGCATAAGGTGATATCATCATCCCATTCACTTTTATCATTATCAGTATTATCGTTGGAACGTTCACAAAGGAGAAACTTAACCTTATGTTGAAAGATTGATGATTGGTTAATTATACAACACATTACAAATACACTTGTTTTAATTCTTTCACTCTTGTCAGACCGACTATCAAATTTCGAGGCGTCATATTAACATTTTCTTCGATCATTCGCACTTTAATGCTTACGCGTGTATGTGCGTGTATGTTTATACGTGCGTTTGAATGATTGTTTCACTTATGTTTTCGTTCGTGTGTGTGTGTGTGTGCTTGTGCGTGCGTGTGTGTGTGTGTGTGTGTGTAAAGTTAATTCAGAAATTAATTTCCGTAAATTATAAACTTGTCAAGTTGTTAGCTTAACGAATCGTGAAATAATTAATTAATAGGCATTGTTGTTTATTCTTCTTAAGGTTTCGCGCCTGTTTTCGCAATCAATGATGACTTTCTCAAGTCTTGAGGTGGTTATAAAAGCAGTTTCGGGAAGTCAACAGATCACATTTTTGTTCAATTATACTTCAAATCTTTATTTCACAATTTTGAGAAATAGGATAAAGATTTCTTAAAAAATATAGAATAGTGAGTGTGAACGTAGTCCATCTTGCCAAACATGTTCGTCAGAAAACAAGATAACAGCGTCTGTGGCAATCAGAACAGCGTCAAGTTGCCAGGCGTCGCCAGATTTACAGTTTCCTCCGTTCATAAAAAACATCAGAACTCTCATTCACAGACGCCGACTGATGATAGAATCGTTTCCAGTTTTTCATCGGCTGACTTCGAAAAAGATGAAGTTGCCATCGAAGCCGCTAACTCGAAAGCGGCGAATTTTTACATCAGCGACGATTACGACGCCATCTGCCACGTAACTACGGAGATGCCACCACACGCAGATCATTACAGAAACATACTGACCTCCACACTGGCTGGAGGAGCTGGTGGCGGAGGACTTCGTAAGAGGCCCACCTTGGCAGAGTTGCATGATTACGTGAGTACTTGTTCTTCTCTGTCTGTTTACACGTGCCAGGTGTCGTTTCAATTTTATTAATTAGAATTTAACGAGCTGCGTAGCTCGTCGGTCGTTTGAATTGTAGAATTTTACGCGTCGCGCGTGATTTAAAATTTAAATATAATATTATTTTATTATTTGGAAATTATGACATAATTTTATTTTATTATCTGAAAATTATGACATAATATTATTTTATTATTTGAATATTATAGCATGATATTATTTTGTTATCAAGGATGAAGAGGTTAAGGACAAGACGAATAGTGATCAGAGCCACCTGGAAGAACCTTACTCGCAAGACATGTCTAACAAGTTTGGCTGGGTCATTGGTGTACTGGTCAGTTTACAAATTTTCATTATAACTAACAATTTTATTTTAAAAGAAGTAAAATTTTTATTAAACGCCAAAAGAACAAGTTATTTAAAATGAAGCATAAATTTTTGTTGGAAAAATAGGTGAGGTGCCTGCTAAACATTTTCGGCGTCATGTTGTTCTTGAGGATTTCGTGGGTGGTGGCCCAGGCGGGCATAGGGCTGGCCAGCATCATCATCCTCCTCGCTTCGGCGGTCACCACACTGACCGCCCTCTCCATGTCCGCCATCAGTACCAATGGTGAAGTCAAGGGAGGTAAAATGGCGGGAATGTTTTAAAAATATAAATTCTCTAACGTTTTCCCGATTTAATTAATAAAATTTTTTAAATAATTTAAAACAAAATTTGCAAAAAACTGAGAAATGAAATGAGAAAAAAGCTTATAATAAGTAGCAAAAAATCAACATAGCAACCTGACCACAAATTCCCTAAACAACACAACAACAACTACAAAGGTGGGGCCTACTACATGATTTCCAGGACGCTGGGCCCTGAATTTGGGGGTGCCATAGGGATAATATTCGCCCTCGCTAATGCAGTGGCCGTGGCGATGTACGTCGTTGGCTTTGCTGAAACCATCGTAGATATGTTGAAGGTGTGTTTTAATTTTTAATTTAATTTAATTTTAATTTAATTTTTTTTTGCGTGTGTATATAATTATCTTTATTATTTTCATTCATAATATTATTATTATTTTATTATTATTTTTTTTATTTGTATAAATAAATAAATATATATATATATATATATATATACATACTTTAGATACAAGTATATATATATATATATATATATATATATATATATATATATATATATACTTGTATCTAAATTTAACATCGAAAAACAAATAGATCAACGATTTGACTTTGCAAAACATTAAAAAGACAACGACAACAACAACAACAATAATAATAACAACAATATTAATAATAACAATAGCAACAACAACAACAACAATAATAATAATAATAACAATAATAACAACAATAATATACAGAATCAGGACATGTTATTTTTGAGTGAAACGAACGTAGTAAGGGTTATAGGGCTCATAACGGCTGCCCTTCTTCTTGGCATTGCCCTGGCTGGACTGGATTGGGAGGCCAGGGTATCTTATTATTATTATTATTATTATTATTATTATTATTATTATAACCAATGTTATTGTTGTTGTTTCCAAATTACTATTATTAATGTTATAACCAACGTTGATTTTGTTGCAGCAGCAGTAGTAGTAGTAGTAGAAGTAGTAGTAGTTGTTGTTGTTGTTGCTGCTGCTGTGGTTGTTGTTGTTGTTGTCGTTGTTGTTAGGCAATGATGACGATGACTTCTGAATCTTCATCGTCATCATCATCATCATCGTCGTCATCATCATCATCATCATCATCATCATCCTCATCATCATCATCATCATCATCATCACTACTAAAAAGGCTCAGCTCGTGCTATTGGCCATACTTTCAATAGCGATCGGGAACGTCATCATCGGTAGTGTCATCCCGCCCTCTGAAGCCCAAATAAGCCAAGGGTTCGTTGGCTATACGGGTTAGTCATCTGATGATGATGATGATGATGATTTGGTGGTGTGGTGATGATGTGTGGAATGATGATTATGATTTGGTGGTGTAGTGATGACGATGATGTGTGGAGTGATGGTGATGATGATATGATGGTGGAGTGATGATGATGATGAGTGGAATGATGATGATTTGGTTGTGTAGGGATGATGATGATGGATGAAATGATGATGATGATTTGTAGGTGTGGTGAGTGATGATAATGATGAGTGGAATAATGATGATGATTTGTTGGTGTAGTGATGAGGATGATGAGTGGATTGATGATGATGATGATGATATGGTGGTGTATTGATGATGATGATGAGGATGAGTGGAATGATGATGATGATGATGATGATTTGGTGGTGTAGTGATGATGATGTGTGGAATGATGATGATGATTTGTTGTTGTGGTGATGATGATGAGTGGAATGATGATAATGATGATATGGTGGCCTGGTGATGATGATGAGTAGTGACGATGATGATTCATGTAATGATGATGGTGTCGATGATGATAAACTTTATGACGATGATGTTGAAAGATATAATTTTTGATGATGAAAATGAATGATGACAACTATACTACTGGCGCTACCAACGCTGCTACCACTACTACTACAACTACTGCTACTACTACTGCTACTACTACTACTACTACAACTACTACTACAACTACTACTACTTCTACTACTAATACTACAACTACTGATAAAATAATAGCAATAAAAACACAGGAAAAAATATAATAAATGTCAAAACTTAAAGGAAATATAAAAATAAAAACAGCGGAGAACTTCAAAGAGAACTTCATTCCGGATTATAGAGACGACTACAACTTCTTCACAGCCTTCGCAATTTACTTTCCAGCCGCTACTGGGATCTTGGCCGGAGCAAATATATCCGGAGATTTGAGGGTGAATAATTTTGTGGTTGTGTAATTATTTTATTATAAAATAATAATAATATTATTATTAATCTTGTTGTTATAATAATAATAACTGTCGTTATTAATGTGTGCGTTTGTCCTTGATATGTCTAAAACAAGTTCCAAAAAGAGAATGACCTTTAACCTTTTGTCATTGAAACGAAAGGACCCCCAGATGGCAATCCCCAAGGGCACCCTACTGGCAATCATCATCACAACAATCATCTACCTTCTCATCGCCTGGATAACTGGTCTCTGTGTGAAGAGAGATGCGAATGGCATCATAAAGGATATGATATCATCAGTGGCAACAACAACAATGATGATACCAAATTATTATCTATCCAATGATACTCTATCTAACATGACGTCATCCTCAATGATGACGATGAGTGAATTTGATATTTATAGCTATTATATGGGTAACAAAACGATGATGATGACGACGACGATGATGATGGCTGATGGGTACAATAATACCTTTATTAATACGACAATTGTGGATACCTGCATACCTGGAGTACCGCACACGTGCGGGTATGGTCTCCATAATGATATGCAGGTTTTTAATTAGGTCATAAATAAATTATGTTAATCAAGAGCTTCTTGTTCTTTAATTTAACCCATGCGGCTCCTATCTGATATGTTCGTTACCTTCAATTCCAATGTATGATAATGTTAATGAGCATGACATTATTAGGATGATTTAATTGGTTGGTTTATCTCATTAATATTCAGGTGACCCAATTGATTTCCATCTTTGGACCAATCACAGTAGCCGGTATATTTTCCGCAACGTTGTCGTCTGCCTTGGCCAGTCTTATATCGGCGCCAAAAGTTTTTCAGGTTGAATGACATACTTGTATGAAAAAATTAGCCTGACAAAATGCCAGCCATAGAATCTATTAATAATAATAAATAGTGAATTAATTTATAAACACTTACATGAAAAACCAACCAATCTATCAACAACTCAACAAACTTGGTTAATCAACCAACCAGCCAGACAACCAACCAACCAGACAATCAAACACTCAATGAACCAATCTAACTAACAACCAATCAATCGGCCAACCACCATTCAACCGAGCAATTAATCAACCAACTAGACACATACACGTACGCGCACGCACACACACACGCTTACACACGCACACAAAATAGGCAGTATGCAAAGACAAAATCTTTCCATTCATTGGCATATTTGGTAAAGGATACGGAAAAACCAACGAACCAAGGAGGGCCTACCTACTTACATTTATCATCGGGGCTGCCTGCATTTGCATTGGTCTGAAATTACATTAACATAAATTATGCTAATTATGAAACTACAATTAATGAAAACTGATTGACAATCAGGTGATCTAAACTCAATAGCTCCATTGATTTCGAACTTCTTCTTGGCATCATACGCCCTTATCTGCTACTCGTGCGCTGATGCTTCCCTTGCTAAATCGCCCGGTTCATTAATATTAATTTTATATTTTAATTACAATTGTTAAAGAATATTATTTTGTTATTTTATAGTTACCCATAGCCTTCTTTTTAGTTTTTTTTTAATCTTACTTTTTAATTTGGGAGTGCTAAAGGCCCGTGGTTTAATGCTGTTGGACGCTCCTACAATTGATGTTTGTGTTAGTGTTAGGGCTAATGAGAAATTCTCAAGAGTCGTTCATTTAGTTTTAGATATTGATTTTGATGTGGAATTTTGTGAAATTTATCAGATTGTTTCAATGGAATCTGTCCTGATGTGAGAATTAAGTTATGTATAATAATGTAGAATGAGCTGGGAAAATCGTCAAGAATTGTAAAATTTATCAACGATTTCACAATGATTAAAATGTTCATGATTATCATCATCGTAATCATCATACATATAATTAAGGTTGGCGTCCAGCGTTCAAATATTATTCGGTGTGGACTGGTCTAGCCGGTTAGTATCACCACCACCAACATCATCTTCATCATCTTCATCATTCTCATCATCATCGTCGTCATCATCATTAATAATAATAATAATACTATCACCATCGTCGTCACCTTCATCATCATTAATATTATCATCATCATCATCGTCGTCATTGTCGTCATCATTAATACTATCATCATCATCATTAATACTATCATCATCATCATCATCATCATCAATACTATCATCATCATCATCATCATCATCATCATCATCATCATCATTAATACTATCATCATCATCATCGTCGTCATCTTCATACCGCCATAGGGACGGTGTTATGCGTTGTGGTTATGTTCATAATGAACTGGAGTACAGCTCTTATCACGTTCGCCATAATCGCCATTCTCTACTTCTACGTACACTACAGAAAGCCTGGTCCTAACATTTCCTATCGTCATTATATACCAATGATTACGTTACAATTTGCTGTGACCGGCTTCAAATGCAAAGAGATCCCCGACAATCACATGCGATGTGTGTGTGTGTGTGTTGTATGTGTGGAGCGTTGTTTTACGCTTCACCTACCTACACGATGCGTTCATTGTTGATGCATAGGAAAAATATTGACGAAAGAACTGTAAAGAAAAACATGATAGACAAATTAAACAATTAATTTAGCAAACAATAAACAATTAATTTAGCAAACAATAATACAATAAACAAATTAAACAGTTAATTAAAAATAATAATAATACAATTAAGAAATTGATTAAACGTTTAGACATAAACTGGGGCTCGTCGACACAGGCTCACGTGTGCAGGAAGGCACTGCAGCTCTCCCAAAAACTCATCAAAGTATCAGAACACATTAAAAATTTCAGGTTAGTAATTAGTGCTAATTATTAATTAATTAATTAAAATTAAATACTGTAGAGACATGCTTCACGTTAACTATTTTACTAATTTGTAGGAAATAGTAACAAGTTAATGAGCTTTTAAATAAAATAGATTAAATTTTGTAAAAACGAATCGTTTAGTGAGATGGTGGATTGAAAACTTCAATAAGTTTAGCCAAATTTGTTATTGTTGTATCATATTGTTGTACAGATATCTATCATATTTTTATACCATTTGTTTATATTATCCACTCGACCAAATAGAGTTATTTTTACACGCATCAAAATGCAAGATACTCAATCAATCAATCAAATAAATGAATTAACAAAAGACCACAGATCCTGGTTCTTACTGGCTTCCCTGCCTCAAGGCCCGCCCTAGTAGATCTCTGCAGTAACATTTGCAAAGATGTCAGTCTTATGCTATCTGGACACGTTGTTGTTGTTAGTACTTCCTCACATTAATTGCTACTTTACATTAATTGCTACCTTACACTAATTGCTACCTTACATTAATTGCTAGGTGGACAGTCACACGAGCAAGTTAGTCGACACAAGACCAATCCTTGACGCAGGTTACAGATGGTTGCTAGCCAGGAAGAGCAAGTCATTCTACAGCGTCGTTACTGCCCCAACTCTAAGAGCCGGGGTTCAAGCCCTCTTACAGGTATGAGGTAACAACGACGACGACGATGACGACAGAAATTGTAATGGAGAACCATAAAAACGATATGAAATTGATTGTATAAAGGTTGCAGTAGCAACAACAGCAGAACAGCCTAAATAGGTCCCGGCCCATCGCAAGCAGTTGATGTGCGATGCCGAGACCGTTGCGTGTCTATACACGTGCTGCGAGTCTGCTGTTGACACCTCGTTATAATGAGAAAACCCTAACTACTGAAAAGAGAATTTTGAAAATAAATCGTATCCCGCAGGCGTCAGGGGTTGGAAAATTGAGGCCCAACACTTTGGTGCTTGGCTTTAAAAACAACTGGAAGACATCAACCCCTGAAGATGTTGAAAACTATTTCAACATTATTCAGTTAGTTGTTGTTGCTGGTGTTGTTGCTGATGCTTTGTTGATGTTGTTGCCATTTAGACAACCAAAAGATTGTGCTGACCCGCCCGGTTTAAATACTGTCTATCCGAAACTGAAAGACGATCAAACGCCTTGCACAAATGACGAGGTGCTTGCGCGTATGACGAGAGGCTTGCGTGTATGATTACGCGTGCATACAGAATGTGGAAATTGCAGTCTTTGTGGCGCTAAGCAAGTTTTGCGTATGTCAAATGAAAACCGCATATTGAAGAACAAGAAAATATTGATAAACAGAAAAATCAAACTAATAACTATTTATTTACAAACTAAACAACCAATCAAAATCAACGAATCGAGGCATGCTATGAACAACCAATATATATAAATATATCTGAAGTTTCCACGCTGATCAACCAATCAAAATTAAGTACCGAACTTTTGCCAATTCGTCAAAAATGAACCAACCAATCACAGTGACGCTTTCGACTTCAATCTCGGAGTTGGCATACTGCGAATGCACGACAAACTCGACTACTCATATCTCGGAAAGCCTTATTGTTGTGAAAGTGAGTTATGATGATGATGATTGTAAGGACGATGATGATGATGATTGTAAGGACGATGATGATGATAATGATGTTAGTTTTTGAAATTTTTGTCTAGGAATAAATTTTAAAAAATGCAAAAACATCACAAACCGTCCGAAATAATTAAATGTGCATGTTGTTCACCCCTTGAAAAGTCGACCTGTCCAAGTATTTCTCCATAGATGTCAATCACGCGGGCTATACCAATGCGGCTTTTGAGGGGGATGTCAGGATGACGGGGGTCAAAGTTGAAGGTTATTTACGTATAGTAGTAGTAGTGTAGTAGTAAAAGTAGTAGCAGTAGTAGTAGTAGCAGCAGCAGCAGTAGTAGTAGTAGTAGTAGTAGTAGTAGAAATAATAGTAGTCATAATCATCATCAAAATTATCATCATCATTATCACTGTACTCCCACCCAAGTTGATGACGTCAGAGGAGACATAGGCGATGACGTACGACACGAAATGGACAAGTTCAACATAAAGAAACAGCAAGGATATATCGACGTCTGGTGGCTTTTTGATGATGGAGGTACACTTACACGCACGCACACGCACACACACGCACACACACGCATGTACGTATGTATGTTCGTATGTGTAGGTTTAACTTTGTTGATACCCTACTTGCTGTCGATGAAGAAGAAATGGAACCAATGTAAATTGAGGATCTTCATGGCGGGGACGCACTCTTCACATATTGACCAGCAAAAAAGACAGTAAATAATAATGACTTATTTAAAATTTAGTCGATTTATTTAACAGTAGCTGTCTCATGATTTTGGAATAACTTTATAATATTTTGAAATATTTCTGAGTAAACTGAAAAAATTCTCATCATCGTCATCAACTTCATT